GGAAGAAGGATATAGAGGCTGCAGTGAGGGCTGTTCCAGGGAAAGGGACCCAAATCCAGGTGCTTATTTGCGCTGGCACCGGGTCCTGCAGCTCTGCCTCCTGGGTTCTGCTGGCAGGGGCTGTGCAGGGTGGATGCCTGCTGTGAATGCTTGTGCCCGTGGCCCAGGGGAGGACGGCTTCCCTTAATCCTGCTGGGAATGTGGGGCCAGACGTGAGCTCTTGAAGAGCTAAATCTGCCCCTGGGACAGGGTGCCAGCACGGGGGTGCCAGAGCGGCCTCACCACATCTGCCCTGCCCTTGTCCCCGCACTGCTGCGTCTCCCGTTTCATGGAAGGGACTTTGCTCCCTGGGCCCTGCCGGCACAGCCCTTATCTGCGCAGAGCCCGGCTCGTGTTTGCTTTTGCCGCGGGAGTGAAGCAGCTGAGTGGGAAAGTTCAGCCTGGGGTGGGTTTGGGGAGAGCTGGGTGCGGGGCAGGCTGAGTCCGAGGGCTCCATCACAACCCGGGTGCCAGCAGAGCCCTGCGGCCGCGGGGACCGCTCCCGTCCCCATCGCGGTGGCTGCTGCACCTGGGGAGCTGCCCTGGATCCCCCCGCTCACCTGGGGCCCCCCGGGGCCGCCGGGGTGAAGCCGGACCCGCTGCCTGTCGGAGCGTGGCCTGCCCCGGGAATGCTCTGGCCCCGTTCCCGGAATCCGGCGCTGGGTGTTTGTTTGCTGCTGCGCCCCCGAGGTCTGGTGCTACCGTGACAGGAAACGGGAACGCCGGGGGGAGGGAGGCAGGCGGCCGGCTGGGGATGTGCCTCTGAAATCCCTTTGTCCCTGCCGAGCGCTCAGCTGCGAATTCCCACCGAGCACAGAGAGCCGCCTTTGTGCTGCCGAGCGCTCGGCATGGGAATGCGCGGGGCCCGGGGTGCGAGCTGCGGGGCTGGGTGCTGGGGACCCGGCCTCGCTGCTGGCCGGGGTAGGGGCACCCACGCAGCGGTTCCCAGCGGGAGTGGGGGTTTTGGGGCGACCTGGGGCAGCGGGATGCTGCTGGCAGGGGAGTTCTGGCCCTGTGGCCAACCTGTTCGGGGCTGCGGGTGCACAGTCTCTGCCTGGACCCCTGCGGCTCGGCTGCCTTCATACCGGGGGTGGGGGAGCTCAGCTTCTCCCCACAAGTGCTGCTGCGAGCTCCGTGGGGCCGGTGCGGCGGCCGGCGCAGGGGATGGCAGCTCTCCTGCCCAGCCCGGGGGGAAGGATCTGGTCCGGTGCCGTGTCCCGGCTGCACTCAGCGGTGCCCCGAGCCCAGCGGGGTGCGGGTGGCGCAGGCCTGGCGCTGGGGCTGACCCCACGCTGCTGCTGTCTGCCGGTGACCTCGGGCAGGGCAGGGCAGGGCAGGGCAGGGATCCGCGCACTGTTTCACAACCCCCGGCTGTGTCCAGACCCATCCCGCGGACCCGACGGCTCTCGTTCGTTGCTCGGCCCCCGGTGCTGGGGGGATGATGCGCTCGCTGCTTCCCCCAGCCCGGGCCGCGCCCTGCCCTTATCTCTGCCTCTCCTTATCGCCGCGCTGGCTGCGGGCCCGCTCCCTCCCAGGCGCGGGGCCGTGTCGCTGCTTGCACCTCCGCGGCTCTGCTCTCTGCAGGGCGGTGTTCCCAGCGCGCTGGGGGCGGCAGGCGAGGCCGCCATCCGCTGCCGGTCCGACCAGTCGGGCGCGCTGGGCGGGGGCGAGCGCCTGCCGGCTCCGTGCCCGCTGCCGCTCCCGGCGCTGCGATGGGGCAGGCCGGAGCCCGAGGCCGTGTCTGACCCGCCCGCGGGAGCTGCCCTCGTCCGAAGGCCGGTGCTCCCCAGCCTGCCTGCGGCGAGAGGAGCGGCCGGGGCCTGGGCAGGACACGGGGGGGCTCCGGCGCCTGGCAGGGCTTGGGCAGAGCTGGCCAGGAGCTGGAGCAGGCTGACCTGCACGGCGGAAGGAGGGTCCCTGCCTGGGCTGCTGCTGCTCTGTGCCGGGCATGGGCCTGCCTCTGGGTGCTGGCAGAGAAACAGCCATGGCCCAAGCTCTCCATGGCCCACGCGGGGATGTGGGAGCTCCTGCCCCCCACCGCCAGGGGTGCCCTTCCCGTGGCTGAGGCCTGCGGTGCTCCCCTGAGCTGAACACTGGAGCAGACGGGGTGGGAGGAGCTGGTGCTCGTGGGCTCTCTGCCCAGCACCCGCTGTGCTTGGCTGGTGCTGGTGCTGGTGCTGGTGCTGGTGCTGGTGCTGGTGCTGGTGCTTGCCACCTCGGGCAGGCTGAGGGCTGATAGGTGAGCTGGACCCTGTGCTTAGGGGGGTGGAAGGATGCCAGAGATGCTGCCTCATTTATTGTTTAGCTAATTGAGACTGACCAGAAGTCCGTGGTGAATTATCAGGGCTGTGAACCTGTGCAGAGCAAGCAAGTGTAGTGCACTGCAAGCACTCGGGCGATTGCAGGCTTGAATTATTGATGGGGTTTCTGTTTTTCTCAGTGCATCATGATGGCAGCTGGAACCAGGAGCAGAATTTGTTGCTTCCTGTCTCTCTGGAGGCCGGGGTCTGGCGCTGAGAGCTGTCGATGGCTTTCGAGGGGCAGGCAGCTCCTGGCTCCCCTCTGAGCCCCAGTGTGGCAGGATGAGGGCAGCTGCTTGAGCAGCGCTGTCAGTTTTCTCGTGTAGGGGACGTGCTGGAGCAGGAGCAGGTTTTCAGGGCAGAGCAGGGCTGGAGCCGGTCCTCGGGCAGCCCCAGGCAGGGGCTGTGTGCTGGGGAGCTGCAGTGGGTGCTGCCTGCCAGGCCTCCTGCCTGTGTCTTACCTGCCAGGCCCTGGCCTTCTCCCTGCCTGGGTTGAGCTCTGTGGCTGATGGGGATGAGCTCCTGCTGCGGAGCCCTCCCAAGGCTCGAACCCATCCCCTGGCAGCCCTGGGTGCAGGTGGGCTCCATCCAGCTGGGCATGGCTGCGCCTGTGCCCTCGGGGTTGTTTCTCGAGGCCCAGGGTTTGCTCTGGGATCCCGCTGGGAAGCAGGCAGGGAGCTCTGGAAGAATGTGCCGTGTTAGGACTGCTCTCAGGGGTGAGCTCTGGGGGGCTTGGTTAGGTTTAGGGTGTTCTGGTGACTGCCAAGCCTTTACTCAAGCAGGAAGCTGAGAGATGAGGCAAGGCAGAGGGATTTGGGTGTGAACTTTCTGGGTAGCTGTGCTGGTCCCTGGGTGCCCTCGCCCCGATGGCCACCAGGGAAGTGCTCTGGTGCTTCTGCCCCGGGGCAGGCGCTGCTGGGGTGTGTTTTGTCTCCAGGCTTTGGCTTTGCCCTGGCCGGAGCCAGCTCTGCTATTCTTGGCTGCTGGGTTTTTAAGTGCCGGGTGTGTCAGCGAGTGCCTCTCTTGATGAAAAGGCAGCGACTGTCAGGGTCTGGCTTTGGAGAATGCTCTGTAGTTGTCTCTTCAGAGGCTGGGCAGGAAGGGGGGGGAATGGGCGCAGAGCGATCCCTGGAATGTCACCCTTGCGGGATCCGGAGTGCTTGGCTGCGGGCTCTCACAGGGGCCGCCTGGCCGGGGCTCTCCTGTTGCCCCCCTCCCTGCCTTGCTTTGCACATGAGCTCCGGGAGGCAGCGAGGGGCTGCGCCGTGCCCAGGGGTTCTGTGTGCCAGCCCGCAGCGGGGCCGGGGTGCTGCTGGCGGGCGGCTGCGGGCAGCGCCGGCTCCAGCTCTGGCCCTGGCACTGCCTCTCAGTAATTATGTCTTTAATCCCGGATCGATGGAGACCCGATGGCTGGGCCGAGTGCGGAGGGAGGAGGCGGTGCTGGTGGTGGCAGAGCCGGGGGAGCCCCCCTGGCCGCGGGTGCCCCCGTTCTGCTGCTCCGTGGTGGAGCCGTGCCCCTGCTCAGGTATGCAGGGACAGCGCCAGCCCTAATCCCGGGGTGACCCTGCGGTGCCTGCTCCTGAGCTGCTCCGTGTTGATGGCTTTGCAGAGCCATGGCCCCCTCCGGAGCCTGCCCTGAGGCCGAGGGCTCTCAAAACCCCCTTGGCTGCCTCCTCTCCCTGAGGCTTCCTGCTCTGGTCTGGGGGCTCAAAGGGGAAGGGGGTCCTCTGTGTGTCCCCACACATCCTCCTGCCTGGGCTGGAGGGGCCTTGGGGAGTGCAGGGGACAGGGAGAGCTGGTGGGCGAGGGACCTGTCCTGTTCCTTCCCCCTGCTGTTGTGTTTACTCCCAGTGGAAGGGACGGGAAGGAAACAGCCTCGGCTGCTCTGGCCCCTTATCTGGGGCCCATGAGGGCCCTGCAAGCTTCATTGTTAGTTCCACATTCTCCGGGCTGTGTTCCCAGGGGGATGTGAGAGGTGGGGACGTGGCGCTGGGGCTCTGTGGGGCAGCAGGGATCTGCTGGGGTTGCTGGCTCTGCTCTCTTCTGCCTTCCCACAGATACCAACCCTGCTGCTCTGCGCTTGCTGCTCACTGCTGAGGCTTCTTGCCAGCAAGTGAAGCCTGTTCAGGAGCGCAGGGGCGCAGCTAAATCTGCCCTTGAGGCCAGCGCGCTGGCTCCATCCTCGCGCACCCCCAGATCTGCCTCTTGTGCATAGAGATGGTCAGGGGCTGGCTGGGGAGGTGTTAGATGGGAGCACAGCTGCTCGGGCAGGGTCCTGTCGAGGGGGGTCTCTTCACAGCGGCTGCTCCTGTCTTTAAAAGGGCTCGGTGAATCACCATGAGCCAGGGGGCTCCAGCAGGATTCTGGGTGTTTGCAGCGGGGGGGGGGGTAGGACCACCCCTGAGCTGATGGAGAAGTCTGGGACGTTGCAAGGAGATGTCCCCTTGTCCTGTGGTTGAGGGCTGGCGCCGGTGGGTCCAGGCTGCCTCTGCCCAGCGCCTCCATGCAGAGCTGGGCCCTGCAGCCCTGCCCCGTGTCCATGCGGGTGATGGTGACCTGCAGTGGGTCCCAGGGGCCCCGGGTCTGTGCCTCTGCTTGGGGTGCTTTGGGTGGATGCCCACCAAAACCGAGCGTGTGACTCAAGGGTGAGAGTCGGATGCGTCAGCGCTGCTGTGGGAGGCACCAGGGCGCTCCTGAGCAGGATCCCCTGCAGAGCCACGGGGCAGGCGAGACCTCCAGCAGCAGGGTCAGAGCTGCCCCTGCATCTCCATACAAGGCTCGGGGAGCTGGGGCGCTGGGAAAGCCTCGGGGCGTACCTGTCGCGAGGGGGGAGGGGTGGAAAACCCGCGCAGGAGCCGGGAGTCGGAGTCGTGTCTGGGAACCTTCAGGAGCCTGCCTGGGCCCTGGGCCCGGAGTGGTGCCTGCTCCTCCGGGGTGCGGGCTGGGCAGCAAGGACCCCAGCCCGGCTGGGGCCGGGCACTGGGAGCTGGGGCCGAGCGCTGGGAGCTGGGGCCGGGCACTGGGAGCTGGGGCCGGGCGCTGGGAGCTGGGGCCGGGCACTGGGAGCTGGGGCCGGCCGGGGTCCATGTGCCGCGGCGCCATGGGCACACGTGGGCATGGGTGGGTGTTGGCGCTGGGCTCGCGGTGAGGGCAGTTGCAGGGTGCGGGTGCGCGGGTGCTCTCGCAAAGGGGCCCGGCCGTGGGGGTGCTGTGGGGCGCGGTCGGTGCCCGGGCTGCCTGCGGGGGGGGGGCGTTTCCAGAAGGGTTCTGTGCGGCCCCGCTCGTTCGGAGCCCCCGGCCGCGCACCGTGGGAAAGCAGCCGCGGGCGAGTCCCCGCACGCCTGCGCGGGCCCGGGCAGGCCTGAGGGCCCCGAGGGCCGGGCTGAGCCCGCCCGCCTGTGCCGCTGCCCCGGCGCTTCCGGGGGTGCTGCGGGACCCCCCCGGCTCCGGCCCCGGCTCCGTCCCCCAGCGCAGAGGAGCGGGAGGGAAGAGCCCGTTCCCGGCCGCTGCCTCCCCACCTCGGGTTGCGTTCACGGGTGTGATTCTGACCTCCTCCTGCTGTCCCTGCAGCTCTCTTCCCTCCTGCTTCCTCACTGGTGGCTGGGCTGTTCCTCCCATGACTCTCTGCGTCTAGACCCGGCTCTCCTGTGCCTTTGCAATCCCACCTGAGCTCCCTCCTCTGACAGGTCTGTATGGAATCATATTGCCTTTCTGTCAATGTGCTGATTGGGGTGTGCTGCTTCACTGCCCCGCCTGGGGAGGGGATCTGAGAGGGTCCAGCCCTAGATGTGTGGGCCGAGCACCTCCCTCAGGGTACCTGCAGCCTTGGGAACCCTGGTGAGAAGCTGGAGGGGGGGGGTTTGGCAGCCAAGGGGACTCATGGGGTCCTCTTTAGGGGGATCCTCTCCCACTTTGTCCCCTTTCCTGGGCAGGTAGAAGCTGTGTTGTGTATCTTGTATCACACTGGGGAAGAGGGAGCATGTAAGTGACAGCGTCTCCCTCCCTCCCTGCTGAGGTAATGGGACACGGGTCACTTCCCATTCCCCAGGAGCGTCCCCTGCTCTGCTCCAGGACCTGCCCTCCCCTCCCTGAGAGCAGCGGTTCTGTGAGGCCTGAGGAGGGCCCTTGTGGGAAGAGGGAACCTCCTCAGCGCAGAGCAGCTCTTCCGACCCTGGCTGCTTGCTGCGATGGGGGAGCCCTTTCTGACCCAGAGTGCCGCTTCCCCAAGCTTAAATCCTGGGGCAAGGAGCATCCAACAGGGCTGTGCTGCCCTGAGCCCTCGTGCCGCTCGCTGGTGGGTGGGAATGCCACGAGATCGTTTTCCCCTGTTCTGAGGATCTGTCCCACTGGAATCAGTCTCTTCTGACCGCTCTTCTCCCCCTTCCTTCCCGAATCCCATGCAGTGCAGAGAGGGGATCCTGCCCTCCTGGGTCACTTTTCTTCCCCTCGCCTGACGCCAGGCCGCCTCCGCTTGTGCCTCCCTGTGCCCTCCGTCCCACCCTGCCCGCCCTGGGCGCCCGCCACCCATGGACGACTCGGAGGTGGAGTCGACCGCCAGCATCCTTGCCTCTGTCAAGGAGCAGGAGGCGCAGTTCGAGAAGCTGACGCGGGCGCTCGAGGAGGAGCGGCGCCACGTCTCAGCCCAGCTGGAGCGAGTCCGGGTCTCCCCGCAGGACGCCGGCCCGGGCTTGGCCAACGGCACGCTGCCCCGGCGGCACCAGGTAAAGCCCCGGCAGCGGGGGCTGCGGAGGCTCCCAGAGCCCCCGGCCTCGTCAGCCCTCCTGGGTGTGGGCAGCCCTGGGCGCTTCCGTTGGCCCTCCTTGGATGTGAGGTGGAGGAGAGCTTGGGCTGCTCTTGGAGCACTGGTGGTGCTGGAGGTGACTGGGGATGTGCAGAGCCAGAGCCCTGTGGGAAGGAAGAGTGTCTGGGTCTGGAGACCTGGAGTGTCTTGCTGCCAGGCCAGCTCTGGCTTGGTTTCATGGAGGTTGGAGGCTGGCTGTATTCAGTACCAGGGCATCTTTGCTCCCCATCCCACTCGGCTTCTTGGAAGGTGGTTGAACTGCAGGGACTGGTGGATAGCTGTGGGGAAGCACATGTCTGTCTCCCTCTCATGTGACAATGGACGAGTCCTTGGAGTTCCTGTTTATCCCCCAAACAGCCACAGCAGGGCTGGGAGAGATCTCCCTTCTGCAGGGCTGGAAGTGCGGTTTCATCTGCCTTGGCTCGAAGCCTCCCTCGCCTGTCCTCCCTTTCCTGGGCTTTGTTGTGGAGGGGGGTGCTCAGTGGGCTGCTGCGTGGGGGTGTGCAGGAGGCGGGCCCCTTGCTGCCTGGGGAAGGTGGTTGTAGGGGATGTGTGGGCTGGGCAGGGGGTCCAACAGAAGCACCCTGCAACAGCCACCGAGCAGCCGTGATCCTGTCAGGACATTGCCTGTGGCTCCTGCCCCGGAGGATGTGGAAGGTCTCCAGGGCTGTGCTGGGAGCAGGAAGGGGTCTGGGCCATTCCATCAGGAGCACTGGGGCTGAATGATGTGTTCTCCAACTTGTGTCAGGCTGGAATGGGGTGCTTTGCTGCACGTCACACAGGCCCCGAGGAGCATGAGCCTCTCCTGGGGGTGGCACGTGGGGCATGCACTGGGTGGCTGTCGGATCCAGGAGATGGTCTGCTCAGGGCCTGGCAGGGAAGGGGGGAGCGGGTACATGGCATCCCAGCAGTGGGAGGTCGGTGCAGTTAACAGGCCTGCTGTGGTGCTCTGTGTTTCAGAACGGCCGTTTCTTGGGCGATGCTGACCTGGACAGGCAGAAGTACCAAGATCTGAAGCTCAACGGGCCGCAGGTGAGGGGAGCTGAGCCCTCTGGCTGCAGCAGCCTGCTGCCTGGCTTGGGGATGCAGGGCTCCACCCTACCTGGGAGAGGGGGACTTGTGTTTCTGATGTGGCCACCCTGGCTTGAAGGGGTTGGGGTATGGAAGTGTTGGTACCTGTTCTCCTGCAGGAGGATACCGGGGCTCCCCAGGAGGTGAGATCTCTTGCCAGGCTGATCCCAGGGAGGTCCATGTTGACAGTGGGGGGCTGACTGCCTGCCCCTTGCTCCCCTTAGGACCACAGCCACCTCTTGTACAGCACAATCCCCAGGATGCAGGACCCAGGCCAGATCGTGGAGGAGACGTACACCATGGAGGAGGACCCAGAAGGGGCCATGTCAGTCGTGTCTGTGGAGACATCAGATGATGGGACAACCCGGCGTACAGAGACTACGGTACAGGCCTGGGCGCAGCACGGGGGGACAGGGCTTTGGCCAGGAGCCTGATGGCTGGGGTGCTGCACCCTGGTATCAGCCAGCTTGCTGCATGAGCTGAAACGGGGATGTGACATCTGCCTGAAAGGGGAGTGCGGGGATGCAGGCTGTGGTGGGTTTCCTGACAGCAATGTGTCCTGCACCCGTCCCTCTAGGTGAAGAAGGTGGTGAAGACGGTGACCACCCGGACGGTGCAGCAGGTGCCGGTGGGGCCGGACGGTTTGCCCCTGGAGACCTCCCCTGTCACCAGCAACTACGTCCAGACCATGGACAGGAACTTCCGCAAGAACGGGAGCGGGGGCCCGGGTGGGTTCCTGAGCCAGGCGGGCACGGCCACGCTCCCTCGGAACTACCACTACCCCGATGGCTATGGCCGCCCCTACGAGGACGGGTACCCGGGCAGCGACCACAGCTACGGCAGCCTGTCCCGCGTCACCCGCATTGACGAGCGCTACCGCCCCTCCATGGACACATACCGGGCCCCCAGCCGCCAGGACATCTACGGCCCCCAGCCTCAAGTGCGCGTCGGGGGCAGCAACATGGACCTCAACCACTTCCACCCCGAGCCGTATGGCCTGGAGGACGACCAGCGCAGCGTGGGCTTCGACGATGCGGACTACGGGCTCATGTCCGACTATGGCACGGCCCGGCGGGCAGGGACCCCATCCGATCCCCGCCGGCGGCTCAGGTATGGGGAGGGGGGATGCTGTGGGTCCCCTCTCACTCACTCTCTTTGGAGGAGGGAGGACTGCAGAGACAAAGGCACGAGCTGAGTCAGGCGCAGCCCATGCAAGAGAAAGCGTATCCAAGAGAAAGCTCAGCTCATGCAGGAGAAAGCTCGCATGCGCTTCTAATTGCTTGCTTAATTGGTGGTTAAAAGTTGGTGCTAATTGAGCTGCTCTTCCTGCAGCAAGGAGTTCCACTGGGCAGTTGGATGTAGCTCCAGGCCCTTCCCTTTCTTTGCCACCCCTTCTGGTGGGAGGGCGGGTTCACCGGCGCCCCAGCTGGGGTTATCCTGTGAGAGCCGTGCTTGATGCATGGCACAGCCCCACAGCAGCCCTGGGAGCGGTGCTGAGCCCCGCAGTGCCCTGGGGAGACAGCACTGCTGCAGCATGGCCAGGACCTCACCAGCCCTCACCCGCAGGCTGCAAGAAGTGGCTCAACCTGTTCAGCAGCGGCTCTGAGCAGGTGCCCCACGAGGCTGGGGCTGCCCTTGGCTCCGGTGGTCCTTGCACGGTCCGGCCAGCGAGCGGCCCCATCCTGGAATGCTGCATCCCTGAGGCAACAGCTCTGTAGGCTGATGTGTTGTGCCCGCTCTGTCTCTTGCACAGGCACTGCTGCTGCCTGGTTAAGCCTCGGCTCAGCTGGGGTTTGGGAGGATGGTTGGGACCGTGGTGAGGTAGGACTGGAGAGGGGGCTGAGCCTGGATGCCAGGGATAGGGATGGGTGTACATCTAGCACCCTGGGCAGGGGGAGACAGGTAAGGCTGAGCACAGGCTGCTTAGGCTGGGACAGCGGCAGGAGGGAGGCCCAGGGGAAGGAGGCTCTTGCCAGCCGCTGCGGGAGATCCGCCCAGCTCGAGGCACACTGCAAATCCAGGGCAGCTCCCGAAGGGCTGGAGGAGGAGCTCTGTCCCTTGGGCTGTGCCAGCGCAGGCCTGCGCTGCTCTGCTGAACCTGAACCAGTCGGGGCGGTTGCTCTCGCAGTGGGTTCCCCCCCTCGCCTCTGAGGCCTGTGCCCACGGAGCTGCCTGCACCCAACGGGCAGCCGGGAGAAGCCAGCAGGAGCTGCTCTGAGCCCGTGGCCGTGGGTCCCGCAGCGAGCCGCTGGACAGGGGGGTTCAGCAAGTGTCTGACCCGGGGCTGCTCTGCTCCAGCTGGGCTGCAGGGGAAGGGAATGCCAGCAAATACAAAAGGTGCCCTGGGTTGCAAATCCTCCCTGGGTTCGTGTCCCACCCAACACACGGGAGCAGGAGCCCCCCCTGAGGGGCCTGATCTGCCTGGTCTCTGAGACCATAAGCCCTCTGTGCTGGGCTGGGTGGTGTCCATGCTCCTCCCACCTTTCCAGATCCTGGAGGGCAGGAACAGGAGCTACAGGCGGGCAGGACACTGGGGGGCTTGGGTCACAGCAGAGGGAGAAGGTCCCAAGGCCAAGAAGCAACCCTGGTGGAGCTGTCACCTTGTCCTGCAAGGATGGGCAATGGGCAGGGTATGGAAGCAGGGTTGATGTGGCCCATGAGCAGGTGCTCACTCCCCCTGTGATAACCATCACAGCAGTTTGTGGAATCCAGGCGCTCTTGAGCTTGGCTTGTCCCCTGCTTCTCA